AGAGATTCCGGCTTTTAGTATTCCGGGTTTTAGAGATGCCCCATTTTAGTATTCCGGGTTTTAGAGATTCCGGCTTTTAGTATTCCGGGTTTTAGAGATTCCCCATTTTAGTATTCCGGGTTTTAGAGATTCCGGCTTTTAGTATTCCAGGTTTTGAGGGTTAAATGAATTGAAGGCTCGTAGAATGATTGGGATATCAGACGGTTTTGCGAGAACTAGCGTATCATCAACATAGCGGGCGTAAAATTTGATAACGTTCGAGTCAATTAATTGGCGTACAATTTCATCCTCGAAAGTTGTCATGATGATGTTGGCAAGGGTAGGACCTAGTGGGGAACTCATAGCTGCGCCGTCGATCTGTTTGAAAAGTTCGCCGTTCATAGAAAAAGGGGTCTTGGTACAACAATCAAGCAGTAGTTTCTTTAATGTTCGTTTCTTTAGTGTGGTGTTGATCTCTTTCTTGTTGGAAATTTTATCAAGGATTATGTTGATGGTTTTCTTAAGGGGCACATTAGTGAATAGGGACTTAACGTCAAACGAAACAAACTGTAACCGTCTCTGAAAAGGTTTTCTGGTATGTTCTGGATTCGAGAAACAGCTTCAAAACTGTCTTTTAAGGTGTGCAGGGCATTCATGGTTAGAGGATTGAGGACTCTTGTAAGGTACTTGGCAATCGGTTGATACGCAGTACCGGTGGTATCAGTGATGGGACGGAATGGTGGTAAGGTATCAAAATCTTTATGGGTTTTAGGAAGACCATGAGCTCGGGCTGGTTTAGTTGATTGAGGTTGTACTTCCGAGTATACATCACCTGTGATTTCTCCACGATTATAAACAGTTCGTAGGTAATTTTGGAAGGTTGTTAGTTGAGTTAGGGTTGGATCTGAGTTAAGTTTGGTAAATTTGGTTTTATCAGCGAAAATTCCGGTCATGCACAATTGATAATCGTATTTCTTGAGAATAACGACTCCGCTGCCTTTGTCGGGGCTTAAGATGGCGTATTTCTGACGGAGGTTTTTAAGGATTTTAATGCGCTTATGATCAACATTTAACTGGCGGTCATCAAAATCAAGGAAATTACAGGCAAGTGCTTTGATTGACGCTTTTATTTTCTGTTGCTTGATGAAGCTGTCTGGCAGGAGATTTTGTTTGTTAAGCTGGTCCCATATCGATTCAGCCGACGCGATTACATCAGATTCATTGGGTCGAGTCGCTAAACCATGTTTGAGACCAAACGTTATCAAATTTTACGCCCGCTATGTCGATGATACGCTAGTTCTCGCAAAACCGTCTGATATCCCAATCATTCTACGAGCCTTCAATTCATTTCACCCTCAAATCCGGCCAGTTTGCATTCGAAGATTTCCCTGACAACAACGTACACTTTCTTGACCTAAAGATTAACTCCTCGGACATAACTATTTTTCGCAAGTGTACACACACCGGTCAATACACGCACATTTCTAGTTTCACGCCTTGGTCCCGCAAAACAGCATGGATAAGAGCCCTAATCAACCGCGCATACAAGATATGTAACAGTGATCAATTATTGAAGTTAGAACTCAAGGCTATACAAGAACTGCTTTTACACTAAACCCGGAAGGAAGCAATAACATCCCACACGTCGACCTTACAGAACGCGCAACACCAGATAATCTACCCAAAATATGGATAAGACTCCCATTTATTGGCAAATATGGCAACATTTTGACCAAAAAGTTCATAAACAAAACTCGCCGTTTACTAAAGAGTCCGTGTAAATTTATTTTAAACTGGCATACTACGAACTCCAATTGTTTCCTGTCCTGTAAAGACAAAACACCGGATGAATACAAAAGCTCCGTAGTTTACGAATTTTCATGTCCGGGTTGTCGAAGCAGCTACATTGGTAAAACAGACCGCTGTCTATACACCCGTCTGAAAGAGCATAGCACACGAGAAAACTCGGAAATCAACGCCCACATCAACTGCTGCGAACATTTTCAACACATCAAATCTTTTATGGAACTTTCACCTGACTCAACTAACACTATATAAACACTAATTTAACTCAACTAATATTTAGAAATTGTAAAATAATTGATAGGTCAGACCACTGGTCTCTGTTGTTATTCAAGGAGTCTCTTGCTATACGCAGACGAAAACCTGATCTCAACCACGGTGCGAAAGCTTCCAAAGAACGTCTCATATTTCATTAACTGGCATTTAAGCTCCGCCTTTCTGGCTTTATAATAGCTGCATCTGTAATTTTACACTATTATCAATCCTGAGGATGACTACAAACTAGTCGAAACGTCGATTAAAAATCAAAATGTTATTCGGAGTTACTGTTATTTTGTTTAATGATGTTGTAGGGGTATGGATAGCTTTTTGATGGGCTCTGCTTTCTTCCGAGCTTCACGCATTTTCACAGAAGGTTCACCAAGCGTTTGTAGGTTCTCGCGAAAGTTTGAGCCATTATTTATATCGTTGTGATTTTGCTGTAGCAACTCTTGCACACTTTGCCTAATTTTAATTGGTGTGTCAAAATGCGCCGGCTTTTTCTAGGTGGTTTTGTTGGGGTTGAAAGAGGTCTCTTTTTAATATGTGCATTCATTCCAATATGAACCTAACTTAGGTCGAGTCATTGCAAGTGAATTTAACAAAGTGGCGTAAACAAAATTGACAAAAATATACGCGATAAGTTGTACATTTCAGGTTGGAGTTTGGTATATTTCAAGTATTTTCAACTGTCGATTCGACATCGAACTTTGAAAGGTTCAAAACGTATCTGTCTCATGTTTGCTCACTCCATAATTTTGTCTGCGCAAAGGTTTTCATCATAACTTCATAAATTAAAATTTAGGTTTTGGAAATCATTGGTTTTTTTATCAGGAAGCAATGCGCGCTAACACTCGCTTACAACATTTCGACGGCCATCTTTAAACCAAATGAAACAGAGTATAGAAATAAAATAACACCCGAAATAAAGTTTTTCGTTATTTAAGTTATCTCTAAGTTTCTTATAATAGTTAAAAGTAACAAAAGTAGGCTATATAAATTGTAAAATACAAAACAATGGATACTCCAAAATTGAAAGCATTTTGAAAATTTATTTCGACGTTTCGACTAAACTATAGTCATCATCAGGAAATGAATGATGTACTGTTTAATAAACGAGTAGGAGTATTTTATTAGGTTTAAAGGCACGAGCGCGCAGCGCGAGTGGCTTTAGACCTAATAAAACACGACCTGCGAGTTTATTAAACGGCTTCAAACACGACTACAAATTCAATAGATTTACTGCCTTAAGCCTAGTTTCCATTTGGTCGTTAGTTGTCGCTGGCACGACAAGCGGTAGATGTGAAATAGTCTAATATAATAATAGTCTTAATTTTTGTGTGATATGCAAATCAGTCTTAATGATTGCAGAGTTTTTTTGTTGACACTCTATTACAATAGCAACTTGTCGTGCCAACGACCAAATGGAAACTAGGCTTTATTATAGCATTGTTTATATAAAGAATACTAACGAGGACACAACTACAATAGATACTGCCTTATTAGTATTCTTTATATAAAAAATACTAATTAGGAGAGTTTTATCAGGTTTAAAGCCACTGCACGTGACATATTATGGTTGACATGATTTGCCAGTAAGCTTATGAATTATTAATGAGTGTTTGAAGATGATATTACATATATGTACAAGTAGATATAGTGAAGTAACAAGATACGATTAGTTAAATATTAATAAATCTTTAGAGGCTTTAGTTCGATGGTTTAGGGACCGTTTCATTCCATTAATAGCAATAAACTCTTGATAAAGTATCAACGACCAGTGATTGGATTTATCTATTATTTTAGTGTTAGTAAATATTAAATCTGTTAGTGAACATTTAATGTTATTAACTTCGTCATTAGGTGTTAGTTCGAGTAGGTTTATTACAAAATTGAATTCATTACAGCTAATTATATGGTTAAATGAAAAATAATGAATAATAAATAATCATCAAAAAAATAATGAAATAAATTCAATTCAATAATGAATAATAATTAATAATAATAATAATAATAAAAATAATAATAATAATAATTTAATAATTAATTCAATTTTGTAATAAACCTACTCGAACTAACACCTAATGACGAAGTTAATAACATTAAATGTTCACTAACAGATTTAATATTTACTAACACTAAAATAATAGATAAATCCAGTCACTGGTCGATACTTTATCAAGAGTCTATTGCTATTAATAGAATGAAACCGTCCCTAAACCATGGAACTAAAGCCTCTAAAGATCTATTTTTTCATTCAAGTATCATTATTGTTTATATATACGCCCCTAAGGGGGCTTTCATTTATTAGAGCATAGGGGGGGTTGGCAAAATTGCGGCGGGGGGGGGGTTAAGTAGTTTTCAAATGTTCAATAGGGGGGGTTATACAATCTTTAAATATACATAGAGGGAGGGGGGTTATACAATCTTTAAATATACATCTGCAGTTAGGGGGGTGTTGCTTAAAAGTTACAAAATAACAATAGTATTTTAAAATGTTCAGTCATATTGTGAATAAATGTGTCTATTCTGGCATATTCCTGTTTTTTATTAACGCTAAAATATTTACTATGTTACAAAATATGCATATGGAGGTGCATGCAAATTGATGTTTTTTCACGCCTGTTCTGCTTCGTCGGCATCAGTCGAATCGGTATTGTTAAAGTCTGAGTCGGAAGGCCATGTTTCATTTAATTCTAGCAACTCATTTTCAGAATCACTGTCGTTTTCACTAGATGGTACCTCGTCCGCAACAACTACTCCTTCACAATATACATTCTTATTAAAGTGAGATATAATCATCTTGATCTTGTCCTTTTTTGTTCGTTTATTTAATGGGAGTTTATACGCCTTCAAGTACTTATCCAGCTCGTACACATGCAGATCGCTTAACTTTCCCTCTTCAATCAATGCTTTCCAATCATAGTCGGCGAATTTTTTTTCCCTTTTTTCCTTTGTTCTTTTCTTTCTTTCTTCGTTCCGTAAATTTGCAGCAACTGCGTTCTCTTGTATATGCTTCACAGCCTCAATTACTTGTGTCTCAGGAATTATGAACTTCTTTGAGAAAACTTCAATACTGTTGTCGCCAAGGACTAACTTCTTGTCCTTCACTAGT